TGAACTTTGTGAACCTTCCTTTCTTTCCGCCAATGCATTCTTCTATCTAAACGCTACCTATTCTACATCGTCTAACACGACGCCCAGATCTATACAATCAGGTGGAATGCTACCTGCGTTCCATTACACTACAGCACTCTTCTACATGGACCACTGCGTCCCTACAGAACCGAGTGCTCTAGTTCTAAACTAAGGTACTCTCTAGCCTCCTCCATATTGACCGAGTAATCCTGGTCCTCCCTACTGAAATAACACATTCCTATGTCTACATCTGCCTACCTACTCTACTACGAACTCAGCCATTTAGAGACCACTAACCCTCTCACTGTGTGAACCCCTGCCAGCTGGTTCCCTTTGCCCCATGCTCTCAAGAACCACCAAAGGTGCCTTCTTGGCCCTTTACCGCTTCTGACCTTCCTGCGCCAGTCCGCCCAGATAGCTCTGCTCAGTCCTTGCTTAATCCTCCCTTTGATTTCCTGATCTGACAGCGGTCGTCCCTCAAATCTGGACCGGTTCCTGTCAGCCCAGATGACAGAGCTGATAACCGCTCTAGTCACTTGGGGCACGTATGGCCAACCTTCCTTACCAGTATGATCTTCCTGGACAAATCCCAGTAGCATCCATCGCTCGTCCCACTCAATGCCCTCCCCTCCCATTCTTCTCCAATGGTCCTCCCACCATTTCCATACCCTCTTTGACGCTGGGCAGTCCCACCACAAGTGCTTGGTGGACTCGAATGGCCAAGAACAGCGAGAGCATTTCAGAGGGACCTCCTCCATCCCTCGACTGCATAACCAAACCGCTGAGGGAGTAACCAGGAGGGAGAGCAACCAGAGAAGACTCACTTGTTTCAGATCCGGAAGGTTGAACAGCACATTCCATAATTTTAAAAAGTCCCCTTCCCTTCCCTGTAGGTCTTCCATTAGAACCGCACCCCATCTAGCCACTGCCACGCTTGCTGGATTTCTCCTTGATCTATTCGCCAGCCTGTAAGACTCTGCCACTGAGTAATTCGAAAGATAGACTCTGTGTGGGCTCGCTCTTGGGGCCACTCCTTCCCTCCACTTCCAGGCCCTACGATCGATTGGAATTTCTCTGAGGGAAGCTCTCCCCACCCATACTGTAGATTGGATTGTTCCTCTGCGATTCCGCTCTTGGATGACTCTGGCTTGCGGTGGGTTGGTCCACTGTTGGATCACCTCTCTCCCTGCCGGGACTAAAGTGGAGCTTGGACCTGCAGTAACCCATCTCTGTACCTCTCTGAACCCTCCATGTGTAAACCCCTGCAGCTCCGACAACTCTTCTCTGCCTTGCTCTGGTGGTGCAACATACCAAGTGCCCACCGGGTCTACTCCCTCTGGGCCCAGGAGGAATTGCCAGTCTGCCGAGATGGCCCGAAGCAGCTGCAGCCAGTGCTCCTCCCCGTGCCATAGCCCCCGTAGGGATTGGTGTATCTCCGCAAATGGTTTCCACGTGCCCAAAGGCTCGGACCACAGATCCAGTATTCTTGAGACTCCTTTCCGTATCCAAGCCCTACCAAGTGACCCCGAGGACCCATTGGCCCGAAAGCTCACTCCCTCCTCGTTCACAATAAAATAATTTTCGAACAATCCCTGCCGCAGCACCTCCTCTTTAGTCCTCGGAGGCTCCCTTTCCTCCAGTGGTTGCTTCAGCCATGCCTTTCTCACTGTATCCCAGAATTCCGAGGTCAACCTCTTTTTCATGAATGATTCTACGAAAAAACAAACCCAAGAGTTTAACAGCATATCATCAGCGAGCGCCTTAGCTCTGCAGTCTTTATCTGCGAATGTGTGAAGGCCTTTGATGCGGGGGTGCCTCCTGATATGGTTGAGGGGGATCTCCAACTGGAGCACGAAGAGAAGTGGAGCCAGGGGGCACCCCTGACGCAACGACCTGGACAGGTGAAATGTCTTCGACAGGTGACCATTGACTTGCACAGCAGACGTGGCGAGGGTATACATAGCAATGACCCACCTGCAGAATCCCTGACCAAATCCTAGCTTCTTCAATGTCGTCAGCACGAAAGGCCAACTGACCCGGTCGTAGGCTTTTTCCATGTCCAGTAGAAGTATCGCTAGATCCAAGTTCTCTCCCTGAATTACTTCAATACTCTCAATGGCCGTCAAGATGTTGACAAAGATAGATCTTCCCTGTACAANGTTCTCTCCCTGAATTACTTCAATACTCTCAATGGCCGTCAAGATGTTGACAAAGATAGATCTTCCCTGTACAAATGCTCCCTGATCTCTCTCTACCAATTTTGGGAGGATCCCCCCCAACCAGAGCGCCAGCGCCTTGGCCAATATCTTGCAGCTAACATTAAGAACCGAAATAGGCCGGTAGTTCTTAATGTTTGCCTTATCACCTTTCTTGAACATGACCAAAATAACCCCGTGCGTCATAGCCCCTCCCAGTTTCCCTCCAATCAAGACTTCATTGTACACTTCTACTAGCGCAGGCCCCATCGCTTCCCAACAGGCCCGGTAGAACTCCACTGTCAACCCATCTCTTCCCGGGCACTTCCCAGAAGCCATCACCTTGAGAGTTTGCTTCAACTCTTCCTCTGTGATTGGTCTGTCTAATGCCAGCCGATCCACCTCCTCCATTTGGACTGTGGTATCTTCCCACATGTCCAATTCCTGAGAGAGATCTGAGTCTGCAGTGTCCTGACAGCGCCTGGTTGTAAGAATGTCCGCGTAGTAGACCTTCGCGTACTCGAGCATGTCCTCCTGTGAGGTAGCCGATGGCGCTCCCCAATCGAAAGGGTGAATCAGCCGTACCACTTGCTGAAAGGAAGTACTTGGGAGTAGCTTATGGAAGTTCTCCTTTGTCATTTTGTCGTCTACCAGCAGACCCTTTATTTTCAACAGCTCTTCCCATCTTAGCTGTTTCTCCATCTGTACTTTCTCCCAGGCAGCCAACCTGCTCTCTCTCTCCTTTGCCCAAACTAACTCTGAGATCGGGTGCATCTCCAGTCTCCTCTCTGCCTCTTCAACCCTCCTGCATTGGTCCTCTTCTCTGTTACGCTCTCGTGCTAGAATCCTGGAGCTCACATCCATTACCCCTGAGATCACGGCCAGACCCCCATCTAACCATTCCGCTGTTGAAGTGAACTGTGGTTTGACCAGCGTCCACAACTCCATGTGTTCTTTAACCCAGGAGGTTAACCCCGGATCCTCCAAGTTCTGCGCGTTCAGTTTGAAATAACCACGCCCTCTTCCTCCCTCTCCCACCGATGCAAGGTCCATGATCACTGGTTTGTGATCCGACAGCGGATGGGGCTTCTGGTACACATGCGTCACCGCCTGTGTCAGTCCTTTGCCCACTAAGCAGTAGTCCAGTCTACGCCTTATAACCTCTTCTCGGTCCCTGTCTCTGCGTGTGTTGGAGTACCAGGTATAACCTGGGTCCTCTGGGTTCAAGCTTCTGTACGGGTCTGACAGCTCCCTCTCCTGTATTAATTCTAGGAGTGCTGAAGTATCCTTCCTTCCTACCACCCTCGAGGCCTTACACAGCGCCTCATCTAGAGAGAGGTTCTAGTCCCCTAAAATGACCAGATTGTCAGTCGGGGGGACCAATCCTTGTAGATTTTCAAAAAACACTGCACGGGAGGTCGGTTCTGAGGGGGCATAAACCGTCATCAATACCCATTCCCTCTGGCCTGTTCGAAGCTTGACCCAGGCCCACCTACCCCAGAGGTCTGTCTCTGCATCTAAAGATGTCGTCCTACAACCTCCTATGGATTAGAATACTAACCCCTCCTCTGGTACCCTGCGCTGGTGACCAATACTGTGGGCCATCCCACCATCCCTGAATCAAGTTAAACTTATCCTCTCCCAGTTTTCTTTCCTGTAAACAGATACAGTCCGCTTTCTGGTTGAACATCCACGATTTGACCCTTTTCCTCTTCTCCCTTCCCGTAGTATCCCCCAGCCCTCTAACATTCCAAGTAGCTAGTTTCAGTCTACCCATCACCAGCTGCTTCTTCCGCTTGGTCTTGGATGCGGGATTCTGGTTGCTCATCTCCCCACCTGGGCATTGGGCCTGTCGGAGACTGGTGCATCGGGCTTCGCCGTCCACTGCTACCCGATCTGCTAGACTGAGTAGCTGCGCGCCAGCTGTCCACTAGTGCCTCTAGTGTGAACTTGGATTGCAGGTTTTGTCTGGAAGGCAGCTTCTCATTGACCTGCAGTAGTATCAGCGCCGAGACTTTCTCTGACACCGCTATTGCCTCCAGCTCATGACTATTCTCCTCCTTCACTGCCTCCAAGTTGAACCATTTAACCCCTGCCTGGGTCATAGCTTCTGCAGTAGCGGTGTCCAACCTGGCATCCAAGATAGGAAAAGAAAATTTCAAGATCCTTTCCTCCAATGGCACCACACAGCTTACCATCACTGATCGTGGGATGATCCTAATTGGAAATACATCCCCAAAGAGGAACTTCGTTTGAGTCACAATCTCCCCTGGAAGTGGCGACTTTGTCGTAGTCACAGATGGTATGTATGGCCGCCCGTTCACCTGCGTCAACCCCAAGAAGAAAGGAGAGCTGCCTGCCATTGCACAGACAAGTGAGACCATCCTCCTTTCAATTGGTCTTGGATCCCGTCTCTGTTGGGACCTGTATTCTTGTTTACTTGATGTGTCCGAATCTCCCTCTCCCCGTGCTTGTGCAGCTCCTGAGCTTCCAGTTGATGATTCTGAGCCTTCTGCCTGTAGGAATCCAGTGCCCCCCAGTGAACGGTCGTCCCCAACAAACTCACTTCCCATCTCCACCCTCGATCTTGAGGAGGAGGACAGGCCAGATTGGTTCCCCCTCCAATCCCCTTGTGCATTTCCCTGCTCCTCTTCTCTTATCGTAATTGGAATACTTGTCGGTTCTGCACTTTGTCCTCTCCTCGCCCTCCGCACCCTGGGGTCTCGAAGTCTCGATCCTCCCTGTCCTTCGTGGGAGAGGTAGTGATTGATGGGAGAGGGAAGCGCATTTCCCTCTCCCATCAATCACTACCTCTCCCACGTTGTCTACTAACTAAACCACCCCCTCGTCATAGCATTGACCAATCGATTGTCTTGTTCTGTCCTCCATGGTCCAAAAATTTGTTTCCAGCGGTCTAGGGGGGGATGGATCTCCTCTCTCCCTCCCTCTGCTGCACCCTCCCCATTCATTCTCAAAGCTCGCCCCCTTCTCTTAACTTAAATAATTATGTGCTCACCTCCGATCCCGAACCTAGTTCCTGGTCAACGCTAGCATAAACTGGACGTCAGTCTCTCTCCATTTTCCTCACGCCCCCTTCTCTTAAAAATAAATAATTACGTGCTCACCTCCTATCCCGAACCTAGTTCCTGGTCAACACTAACATAAACTGGACGTCAGTCTCTCTTCGTTTTCAGTGGAGATAAGCCGCCCCCGACTCCAGCCGCAGTTCTTGGTCCCCTCTTTCCCTAATTAATCCCGTCCTACTTCTCCTAATCACCATTGGAATCAGCGAAGGCCCTGTCCTTTTAGCGCAGTGTTGACCACCGCGGTTTGAGATACCTCCCAGGCACTCCTCAAAACAGGGTGAGTGGGCCCTGGAACTATGGGCAACCGCCCATCACTGTCTTTCAGCCGGTTGCCTTCCCATCTCCAACATATGCCGTAGGCCATATGGGGCCACAATCCCCTGTCCTGCACCCGATGCCTTCACCGGGTTGATACCTCGGAGTTGCCGACCTAGGAGGAGCGTGGCGATCCCCTGTGACCTCAGAGCCTTCTGATTCTCAGTCCTTTCTCCCAAGGGACTCAACTCCTCCCACTCGCTTCTCTTTCAACCCTCCACCCTTCTCCTCATGGCTTCCTTCTTAAGTAACTCCCTGCTAATAAAAGATAAATGATAAGCGATCCGACTTTCCACTGAAGTATCATGCAACTTCTCCACCTATTCTACTTACACCTCTATCCTTCGAGGTTTAACCTCTGCTCGATATCCCTTGGACACGAAGGCTACCTCTACAGGACTCAATTCCAACATAGTCGGCACTCACGAAGAAGTGAGCTTGAAGAGTCCTTCCCTTCCCATCGCAATGGCCGGGTTGGCGAAGAGGTAGGGTATGGATATGACCGAAAGAAACTCCATAACCCCGTCTACCTGTACCAGTGCCGGTTCGGAGCGGCGTTTTTTAGCGCAAAATTTAGCGCAGCCGCCCAGCCGCGGCACCCTCCTCCGTCCCTCCGGGTTGAATTGCGAGGTCCCCGGGCTCTCTAATGTTTTTGTTTTTGCTTTTTTATTTTTGGACAACGCAACCTCGATTTATGCGTGTCATCCTTGCGCAGGAGGCATGCTAATCTTCTCTGTGTCGCTCCAATTATAACGGGAAAAAAATATATATTTTCGTTTTCCTCCACTCTTGAATAAATACAGGACTATCATTGGAAGAGAATGGGAGGCAGAGGAGTGGAGTGGGATGAGAGATGGGTCCTACTGGGGTTCCTCCCACCAGAGCTGAACGAAAAGGAAGGGGGAGGATACGTGGCGCAGGTGGTCAGAGGCATACAGTTTGAAATTATCTGGGAAGACAAGCTATCATGTCAGATATAGAACTGAAAGGGAAAGTAATACAAGCAATCAAAACAGCAATCCGAGTTGATTGGATGGAAAAGGAAGGCAAGAGCGGGCACTGGCAGCAGAAGACAAACGAAATGGTTCAGGAGGACGTGGGCCAAACAAGAGCAACAGACAACAGTTCACCCGGTCACAGGACGCAGGCTATCTAAATGGATTTTAGAGTTACATAATACAGGTAGTTAGGAGCTCAGAAGGAGAAATCCAACTAGAGTTACATAATACAGGTAGTAAGGAGCTCAGAAGGACAAATCCAGGCAATTTGTTGGGCGGGGCGAAGTAAAACAGTAGGTGTAGACTAAGCACCAGGGCACTCGGTTCATTAGAAGTCTCAGTGGACTGTGTACGTGAGTGTCAGGATAGGCGAACAAGGTCCAATGGGCCGTGTTTAGACCCAGAGGCCGCGTTAGGCCCACCAGCTCTGAGGGTGAGACTAAGAGTTATTAAGCATAATTTTTTGAAGCAATAGAACCAGATATCTACGTCGGATGTGAGATTAAAAGAGAAGAGATAGGAAAGTTGTGACAGTGGGTAGAAGGAAGATATATTCTGTGTTGATTGAAAGGGAATTCGCAATTCCTCAGTCAGTACAAAAAAAAAAAAAAAAAAAAAAAAAAAAAAAAAAAAAAAAAAAAAAAAAAAAACAACTGGAGGCCGGTGGCCTCGTCCCACTTGCACCGTTGAGTTGACACCGTAGGGTCACGGGAGGCCAGTGTCAGAAATAGAGTGCCAAAGCAGGACTAGGACCTGGTTCCAGGTCCTAGGTCCTCTGGGCCCGGGTAGTCCCAGACTTCAGCTTGGTAAGTGAAAGTAGAATATTTAGTCGCAAGATTCATCAATGGAACATGGATTATGGAAGCCAAAAGCTCTCCGTGGCTTCGCAAGCGCAAAACAGGTAGGCAAACTGTTTTATTTGTAGTATTGGGTACGCAGTAGGAACTGGAACTCAGTAACTTCGGGTTCTGCAGGCTGCTGCCTGTAAGCTAAGCTGGCTGATGCTGTCAGTACTCCGGGTCCAATTGTGAGGTCCCCGGCCTCTATTGGAATTTAATTCATGATGTTGTTTAAAAATAAAGAAATAAATAAATAAGTAAATAAATAAATATACGAGAATGAAAGACAACACGTCTGAAAAAAAAAAGAAAAAAAAAAGACAACACGTCTGACACAACCACGCCGAAAACAAACGGACAAGACGTTCCACAGCGCCCGAGGGACGATAACCAAAGATCAACGATCACAATGCACTACCACCCACAAAACATTAGACGTGTCATCACCACAGCGCCTGAGACCACATGATGACAAACCGCTCCAATCAGTAAAATATAGGACAGCCGCATTGATTACCACCCACAAAACATGAGAAGTGTCGCCCGATACTATACGACAAACCGCTGGAATCGGCGAAATAGGAGTCTCCACCATCTCTATGTAGGTACGGCAATCGCACGGCCAAGGACGCAGGAACCAATCGATGGTCCGCGCAGAGTGACGTGAATCCCGGCGGTGGTAAGAGAACCACCACCGGAGTTGAGGCCTTGCCTGTCGGGATGCTCCATCTATTGGTGGGGTGCGACACCTGCCAGAATCTAAGTAGTTCCAGTGTCCCTTGGACACAGCATCTCAGTACAGTGTTTGTTGGGACTACGGCAAAGTCAGTCAGTTCCTACAGTAGCCCGGCGCACCGTCTTTCCCTTCGGGCTGCATTAGTCCCCTCCCCGTACTTAAAAAAAAAAAAAAAAGAAGTCCCCTCCCCGTACTTCTTGGGCTCCTTACTACTGACCCAGTCCCCTCCTGGAAAATTGAACCCGCCAGCCAGCATTTGACCGGATGCACGGCCAGGTCCTCCGCTCGTTCTTCCTCGCTGATTCCGCCCTGCCACTAGGCAAAGCAGCAGAGAGTGGGCGGGAAAAAAAGATAGAAAAAAAGCAGAGACTCGGCAGCAACGAATAGACCTACGTAAATACAGCTCTGGGGCAGCCGATGATCTCTACCGTCTTCAACCGAATAGAACGCATGGTCATACAGCTATGATGACCGGGGGCGTCTATTGGGGCGAAGATGGCAGGGTTATAAGCAGGGTAACCGGCATTCGGGAAGGGCCGAACGCCCCGACGTCAGTGACCCCTTAGGGATGCGTTCGGCGGTTCGGGCCGAAAGCGGACTACAAAAAAAAAGAAGAAAAAAAAAAAACATTCAAAAAAATCTATAAAACAAATGTTGTTATGAAGAAAATAAAATAAACAACATTTGCCTGCGCATTATATCCAAATTTCTTACATCAAGGGTGATAGGCTTTGTTTTTGTAGGTTCTGTTTTATTTTTTCTTTTTTTAGGGTAATTTGCATAGTGCACAATTAGGATTGCATAGTGCATAATTAGGATTTCGTCATTTTCGTATGGTCAGAGGAGACTGTTTACCCCGTGGCCTTCTCTATGATGGAAGGGATGCCGGACCCGTTTTCCAGCTTGTATAATTCAAAAGCGGCCGTCGTATGAACCAGGCCGGCCGGAGTGCCTGGATCATAAGACATCTGGCTGCCCTTTTGGGGAAAAAAAAAAACTAAAAATCTTACGAAATTTGAAAAAAAAAATACAAAAAAAAACCTAATAAGAAAAATAAGAAAAAATGAAAAGAAAATTAAAATTTGTGAGTGAGCCAGCACTTTTTCGACACCGTCATCTTTGGCGATTTTTCATTTGTTTTTGGCACAGCCAAATGCCTTGAAAATTTACAGATGTGTACTTCACATAATACAAAACTCGTTAAAAAAGTTTCCAAAAATAGTAAAATCATTTCGGCACTAAAATAAAATCAGAACCAAAAGCAAAAAGTGAAAAAAAAAAACAAAACGAGTGGCCGAGCACGTTTCGACACGGCCATCTTTGGCGATTTTTTTTTTTTTTTTTGGCTTGGCAAAATGTACCCGAAATGCATAGGCATGTACCTCACATCATTGAGCTCACAAAAAACAATTCAGAAAAAAAAACTTATTTTTAGGCCCCGAATTAATTTTTGGCGTGGGCCGAACGCCTTGGGACCGGGACCTCCGTACGTGGACCTTGACCATGAATATAAGGACCGAACGCCTTGGCCGAGCACGTTTTGACACCGCCGAATTTTTTTTTGGCGTGGGCCGAACGGCCTGGTGGGTACAGACTGATTCGTCACACACACGAAGTCATACATACGCACAGAGTACGCACGCAAGAAGTAGTCAAAAACGCCACGTGGGCCTGGTGACCATGGATATAAGATTGACCTTCTTTTTCTACTTTGGGAAGCAAAAAAATCAGTGTGGGCGCAGATAGGGATCCCGTGAACAGCCCATAGCAAATCCACCCAAACTATAGACAATTTTTTAATTTTTTTTTAAAGACGATGCACAAGGTCACCACCTCCCGTGGACACCGAAAAGAAATAAGATTATAACAAAATGATTAACCAACTCTTATGCCGGGACGTCCGATTTTCTTTTTTTTTGGGTCGTGTTGGACCGCGCTAGCACGTCCAATTGCAGGTTTGACTACCGACAACAAAAAAAAAAAACATTTCGATGCATTTATTATTTAATTGACTGCCGTCAATCAATATCCGTAGTAAAGAACAATCGATCCTCATATTAAAATTCGCGGAAAAGAAAAGAAAACAAAAGAAAGGAATGTACGTATGAGAGGAGAGAGCACATGGATCGGACGATTGAGAAATCATAAATAAACGCGGAGACTGGTACCGACGGACAAAGAAAAAAAAAGACACTGTGGTATAAGCCTCAGGAGTAGTGGCAGGTAGAAAAAAAAAAAAAAAAAAAGGAGTCGTGGCAGGTAGGTGGTGAAGATGAATTGAAAGAATCCGAAAGATGATGAAAGATTTGGGACAAGAATACACCGTAGTTTTTTCATTTAAGAAAAAAAAAGAAAAAGACCGGAGACTACTTCAGGCACAGGTAGGGTAAATTTTAATTTAATCAATGCCGTTCAACAAACGAGTCGGAGGAAGAGGCAAAAGCATATTTTTAAAAAAAAAAAGGAAAAAAGAAGCAGAAGAGATACCATCCATAAAGCAAACAAGAGTTTTTTGGAAGAGGAACAAGTGGAAGCCTACCGTATATTCGCTAGTCGGCGTCAACAAAAGTGAAAAAAATGCCAGATTCAGACCGAGGGGGTGATAGGATGACAAGACCGAGCTCCCTCTAGGATGACACGGAGAAAAAGAAAAAAAAAAAGAAAAAAAAGTAATTGAGAGTTCCAATATTCACAACGAGGAGCGAGGAGTGACGCACTCAAGAATGGAGGTCAAAACTTACGGTGCACGGAGAGAAGAGAAGAGAGCGGGAGGGGGAAAGGGGGAGGGCGAAGGCAGAGGGGGGATCTTGAAAAATGGTAGATAACATTCGCAATTTGATGGGCGGAGGATCAAAACCACGCGGCCAGATAAAGGCACGAAGAGGAAGGGAGAGCCAAAACGCGACCCCAAAGATAAACGCGAGGAATTGTTCCATGTACCAAACCGACCCGAGATGCAGTATACCTACCTGTAGAAGATAGCTGACAAGAAGAAGGCCCGTCTCTCCCCATCGACATATGAGCGTTCCTTAGATTGTACCACACGAAGAAGGCCGGAATCGTGTTTCGCTCCCCTGTCACCACATCTGCAATCCTCTGCGCGCATTACCCAGAGAAGAACGCAAACATGCATTTCCCAATCGACTCTTCGTAATGTCCTCTCTCTCTCTCTCGCTGTCTCTCTCTACTGAGCCTTACTTCACATCGACCTGCTGCTTCACCACATCTGCAATCCTCTGCGCGCAAAGAACGCAAACATTCATTTCCCAATCGACTCGTCGGAACGTCCTCTCTCTCTCTATTTCTCGCTGTCTCTCTCTACTGAGCCTTACTTCCCATCGACCTGCTGCTATGATGTAGTTGACACAAAGTACTCTACTGAGGGCACACTGCAACTGGACGTGCTTCCAGTCAGATGCGTCCACGGCCGTCCGTAATTGCGTTAAGATACACTTAGGAGAGTGCTACGAATTCCGTTCGTATGCAGCACTGATTCTTGCCAGTCACATTTAGGAAACACCTGCCAAGTAGTTCATGTCAGACGTGCCGCTGCTCAGCGAATCGAGCCCTCCTCAGAGACTATCGATTCTTGTCGCGTCTCATAATAGTCAATGGGCCTGGCTCCACCACTCACTACATGCAGAAAAGACAAAAAAGACAGCGATGCATCTCTCCATCGCGATGTGTCTCCATGTTCTAGAGGAAGATTCGTTCTCATTTTGCACATTTGCTGAGTAGTGTAGCGAGGCCCAATGTCAGACGTGCCGCCGCTCTGTAGTTGAAGAAGCACCCTGCTACTGAGGAGGGGGCATATACTCACACGAGGACTTTTTTACTTATTCGTGGACGTACTCGCGGTCGCATACATCCACGTTCGGTCGTATAAATGCGGTGAGATACATCATTTAAGATAGTGCCAGTGTGAGTGCGCCCTGAGCATTTCGCCCTCTGCCTGTGTTCTGAAAAGCAGCACATAACGAGAACACCTGACAAGGCACTCGCTTTGACGACACTTCCAATCAGCCGTCCCCGTTCGTCGTCTGCGCACAACGACATCGTGCGTGGAGACTTCACAGCTGTACTTCCCACAGCCACCGCGTTCGATCTCTTGGTCCCAACTGTCCTCCCCGCAGGTGGTACGTGGATGTCTCAACGGATTGCAACGCTGCTCCTTCCTTCCATAATTGGAGGTAACGACCGAACGCTGCTGCTTCCTTACCTTACATAGTAAGTGGAGGTCACAGCTGTACTTCCCAAAGGGACGTGGAGGTAGGTCGCAAGGATTGGAACGCTGCTCCTTCCTTACATAAGTGGAGGTCGCGAGTGTTCTTCTTCCCACAGGTACGTGTAGGTCACAACGGATTCGGAGGCTGCTCCTCTCTTTACTTACACTTTTTCGGTTCATGCCATCTTCCTTTC